TTTACCTTTCCAAATTAGGCAGAGGCCCGCGGGATCCCCAACTCCTACTCACTACTCTATCGTAACCAACAACCCGAGCCCTGAAATTCCACATCATCATCAACATCCTCAGATGCCACAGGTCACAGGTAGGTAGTCCAAGGTAAGGGTAAAGATACGGGTTGGGGTTAGGGTAGGGTTAGGCTAGCATGCTTGAGGAATGGTAGGTGTGCGGATGGGCTGGGAATGGCTGGGATGGGGTGGGGTGAGCCCACCCTCAACGCCGAGAACTCTGGACCGGCCTTGCGGTCTTTGGCCGCCACGCAGGTCTTGCACTTGCTGCCGGATCCGGGATCGCATTTGTAGATGATGACCTGTTGGGAGATCTTAATCGTTTTGTCGCGGTCGGCTTACGCGGCTTGAAACTTAATTACGCAATTGCGCAGGGTCACTCCCCCGCAGGTCCTTACACATGCAGGCAGAACCGCGCAATCCCTCGAAATCTGCAGTTGCAAGGCCGTGGCAGTAAACACACGAACTACAAAGCAGCTACGACAACGCAATATACCTGACTGGAAGTCCCTCGATCAGAGGAGCACAGGAGCAATCCCGGCCGCCCTCTAAGTACTCTTTTGTGACCTTGCAGCGCTTGCCAGAGAGGAAATGACCGGCGTTGCAAGCGGTGCAGTGGTCGTTGACCTGTCACGAACTCCGTGTTTTCAGTTTGAAATGAACGAGACGAACATACGGGTTCGCCTCATTTTACAATGTGTTATGTGCGAAACCTGTCGCATCTGACGAACTGGCGCAGCCATCGGCCTGTGCACCTGACTTGGCCCTGCTAGGGTCGCATACGACTGTGGTGATGCAACCTCCACTACCGGTAGCTCAGAACCTTCTTGTGTATGGCAGGCCCAAGGTTGGCGACAAACTTTCTCTCTGCCAGCTTTGAATGCCGAGTCTGTAACGACGGAAAGAACGGCATTCTGACAAGCTGCCTTCGAAAGAGATCATACTGCAACAGGCGCAAACAAAGGAATGCACGCAAGCACGCTCGCCCGCCCGCCCACCCTCACGCCCACACCCGCGCACGAGAACGCGTGCGTAAGAAGGCGCAACACCAACGAAGCCGCAACGCATCGAGCTGAAGGTCTTGCCCAATCATTCTCATCATTCCAATCAGGCTGGGCAACGCAATCATGCAAGCAGGGTTGCACATCAAGCAACCTGTGCCACTGTCAGGAATGTTGGCAGAGGGCTCTACAACAGCCGGACCGTGTGACTAAGACCCCCACAGGCAGAGCACTTTTCCTCAAGATCCATATTGTGAGAAATGAGCACAGTGGCGTCACTGCGGCTCATGCAACCAAGGATTGTGCGCACCACGAGTGGGGGTCAAAGCTCCCCACCGCTCCGCGTTCTGCACATTACGCTGCACCTACCGCCATATCATCGACTCCAAGGCACGAGTTCGCTCTGGCGTGAACAGCCTTTGC